GAATTCACAGAGGAATTGCTGACAGACAACAGTACATATCCCATTAGATACAATGAATTCTTTATTTCAGAAAACTGTCCTTAAGGAGGCAGTAGAATGATTATACTCTAAAGGGAAAGTAAGAGTTTTACTGATATATTAAATCAGTGGTAGTATTCAATTTTTTTATTACCATTTCTGTGGGCATTGGTGACTTGTTGGGTGTGGTGTGGCTTGGTAGGCATGGCAGCGGAAGGATACTGTAAAATCCCCACTCCCTCTCCACCCCACTAACCTGCTTTCCAGCTCTGTTCTCCTATGCAGGGCAACAAAAGAAGACCTAGCTGAGACTCAGGAGGCAGAGAATAGATGTGGGTGGGGCCAGTCAGAGGTGGTATTTGCCAGTTCTCCAAACTACTCAATATTTCCGTTACCAGTTCTCCAGAACCTGTCAGAACTGGCTGAATGCCACCTCTGATTTAAATCAGGGGTGGGATTCTACTAGTTCTATCCTGTTCTATAGAACCCCTTGTTAACTTTCTAAGCAGTTTGGAGAACTGGTAGTTAGAAGCAATCTCCTTTTATTTTTTTCCACCCTTATTATATTCTTGGCAGACAGCCTAGACTTCCTGTCTCCAGAGCTTCTGAGGCTTTCTTAAAGGGGAAGGGTTTTAAGATATACTTCCCTGGACAATCAGGACTTTGAAGAAATAATTGAATAATGAAGTAAAGCTTTTAGTGAGGGGGGTGGAACCAAGATAAGTGACATTCAGCAAGGCTTCTTGATTAGCTAGAAAGATTAACATTCAAACATGAGTTTACATACCCTTTCTGAGTTTTTGGTCTAAAACTGGTTTCTGGTGAAGGTTAATTCTGTGCTTGGTGTGTTTATTGATGGGATAATTTTCCCTATTCAGCTTCAACAATCAACAGCTACTGCTGTGATTTAATTATTTGTATTGTATTTGAATTTTTTCCTGCCTCATGGTTTCTTTTTCTATCTGGGGAGGGGGTCTTCCTCACTGCTTTAGTACTATTTGGCATTGTCCTTTGGGGGTATATTTCCAAGAAGCAGGATACAGGCTTGGCACTGATATATTTTTCTGCCTTTCTGTGGGGCATGTGACCTTTCCTTAAATCTGGATGATTTCCTTAGGATATCTTGTGGAGTGAGTGAGACCAGCTGGTATTTTTAAGTGATGCAAATGTATCTAAGGATTGCTTTTCCTGGGTGTACTTTTTCTGGAGCTCTTAAATGACCTCTCTCTACTAAAGAGTTTCACTTTATGAGCAAAAGCTGGCTGCTGATAGTTATCATTGCATTTTAACTATTTTCATTCCTCAAGGTGCTCTGGCACCCTGCCTGGTTTGTAACTCTGGCTTGCAGGTATTTTTAATCTAATGATTAGTATTTAGGGCAGCTTTTTGCAAGCAAATAAACTTTTTGTATTTTTGTACAGGTAATCCTTGACTTACAACAGTTCATTTAGTGACCATTCAAAGTTACAATGGCACTGAAAAAAGTAACTTATGACCATTTTTCACACTTATGACCGTTGCAGCATCTGCACTGTCATGAGAGGCCAGGCAAGGAGAAGCGCCCTTTGCTTGACATGAGTGATGTCAAGTTGGCCACACCTACCCAGTCACATGACCACCAAGCGACACCCACCAAATAAGCCATGCCCACAGAACCGGTTGTTAAAAAAACTGAATCCCACCCCTGATTTAAATGCTTTTCAACATCCAACATGTTACCTAAAATGAAACTCTTTCTTGACACATTCCAAATATTCCCAATATGTGTGTTTCAGGATATATTTTGTCTTTTTTGTTGTTGTCTAAGCAAGTTGAAGATCACACTCTAATTCCAGGAATGATAAGTTGCCCACTGCAAATAACCTAGAGAATTTGGCCTTGGCAACAAGTAACTGAGATAATAACAAAAAGTCATTTTCTCACAAAACTCTAGAAGTTTAGCTGATTTATTCTTTTGAAGCACTACCTAACATTGAAACAAAAGAAATACTGAGAAAAGTAAGGAATTTATAACAGCCCCCGTTAACAACACTTATACTAGCAAAACCTTTGATTAGCCTCACCATCCCTCCACCACCACTGCCGCCACCAAGGGTTGCAAAAGCAGTTATGCAATCTACAAACATCTCTGACAAACTTTGATTTAACTGAGGATTCTCAATAGAAAAGCAACCAGAAGGAAGACCATTGGCAATTTGAAAAGGGGCTGACCTTGCATCAGATTTAAGAAATAATCAGTTGGAAGGGACTTTGTAGGTCATCTAGTCCAACCCCCCCGCCCGCCCGCCGCTGCCCAAGCAGGAGACCCTACACCATTTCCGACAAATGGAAGTCCAATCTCTTCATCACCCAAACAACATCTGCACTTCCCTTGATGTCATAATTCTACCACATGGACTGCAGGCTAAAGGACTCTCCAGAAGAAAAGTTTCAAACTCTGGATGAACCCACACTCATAACAGTCTAGCAACACTTTAAGCTAAGCAAACTCAACCAAATGTTGGTGATCTTCAGATCTCTTGTAGCACTCAACCTAAGATGGGTAGCGTTTACACCAGCATGTTAGAGTGCCAGTCTGGCCATATTGGTCAAGAAAGAACTTGGAAGGAAGATCATAGATATGGCTATAAGTACCTCCTCATCTTTTTGCTCAGCTTTAAATTCTCTTGTGATTATGATATTACATTTACTACCAAAAACATATACAAATTATTCCCCTGGCATATAAGTGAATTTGGAGTAAACCCTGCTACAGCTAAATTCAAAAACTCCCAATACAATTAAATTGTTTTGGGAGATTTTAATGCAAGCTTGGGCAATCTATATAATATCACATTAGTAATCTAAACATTCCTGAAGAATGCTATTTCCTATTACCTTTATGTTCCTTTAGGGACTGGGGGGGAGGGGAAACACTGCCATTGAACAATTGTTAAATCTGGTATGCAAAGGTAACTTGCATATCTTAGGGGACAAAGTCCAAAATTTTGTTTATTATCAAAAGAAATCATCTCAGTACTTTTAGACTTTACCCTTTGATTCTGGGTATGCGACACATCACTCCTTTGTCATTTCATATACAGACTTGCTTTAAGAAACATATCAAGAATTCAAGCAAGTGCAGGCAAATGGTAAAAACTATTCACAGTGTCCATTTTCTTTTTATAATAATGTGCCTAGTCATATGCCTTGGACATATTATAATCCTTGCAGAAGAAAATATATTGGCAGAAAAAATTAAGGAAGATTTTCAAATGACCTTTAAAGTATCTAAAAGTTTATTTAAATGTTATGTTCTACAATTATATTTATCTTTTCATCTCTCAATACAATATTTACTTCTTTAAAGTGTTTATGTCTTGAGAGTTTATTTAACAATCAGATTCTATGTCACATCTCCTTTTCTCTTAACTGCAATTTTACTTAATTTTTCTTTACAGTTCAATTAACATGCCGCATATCATCCTTTAGCTAGCAGAAAACTGTATAAAATTTGGCCCCTTTCCTTCCTCCATAGCCTCTTTTTAAACTTGAAAGCTGACATCCTAATTTTATGTATATAGGACATCTTAAGCATATTCATTGCTTCAGTCCTCTGGCTTTATGTGCCCACCCCTTTCTAGACATCATTAGCTTTCAAGAAACCACTGATGTTATTAGCAAATGATTTTGACAGATGGCTAAATCTATAGTTAAGCAATTTGTTAAAACTGAATTCTGGGTTTATGTACACAAATTTGTGTTGGACTTGTTTGCAATGTGGTGGTGAATTTTGACAGACAGTTAAACAGTGCTCCCCTTTTTTCTCTGCAAGCCTGGTGAGATTAACCATCAATCTTGCACAGGTATGGAGTTTTTAAGGAGAGCTAATCACATATAGAATTCTCATCAATTCACCAAGTTCCAATATATATCGAACTGCTAATACTCAAGGAAATGTCGATGCTGGCAACAAATGGATATAGTCAAGAATACAACAGAAAATACTCTTAACTCTTCATTGGGGACAAGATGAAGGCAACATTATGGGGACTGCTCCACCCACACCCAAGGATGTTGCCAGGTCTATTTGTGCCATAATCGGGTGATAGCGAGGAAAGGCATTAGTCTGTGAAAACAGTGCCATCTTGTGGTAAAATACTAGATTCAAACGAAATGCTTAACGTAGTGTAGTGTTCAGGGATTTTGGAACCAGCCTTCAAAACTTAACCTAAAAATTGGATAAACAGGATACAGATCATAACTAATGCATTTTTAAACTAACTTTTAAAAGCTTCATTCAAAAAAAAAAAACCCTAGAGAAATATGATTACAATTTAATCACAAATACTTCCCAAAAGTGTTTTTTTCAAAGGGCAGCTGGACTTTGTTTTTCCTTGAAAACATTTCGCTTTTCATCCAGTTCAGAACTGAAGAAGCTTTCTGGATGAGAAGCGAAACGTCTTAAAGGAAAAGCAAAGTCCAGTTGCCTTTTGAAAAAAGAATTGTCCCAATCATGACCTGGAGGACTGAGATCTTCATGTACAAGTAATACTGTCCCAAAGGATCATTTCTTATAAAAATCAGTTTTAAACTGTATTTTATTGAGGAGTCCCTGCTGCTCTCTGAGTTGGGTCCTTTGTTTCGATACCCGATTAGGTAACTTCTTTCAGGGCTTGAAGGGAATGGGCTCTTCGCTCTCTGTATATATCCGGCGATCTGTGTTGGGGGGAGTGCTTTTTCCCCTTCGCAGTCCCTTAATTGTGCTGTTGTTTACCCCCAGATCTTTTTGCTTATGGGGAGCAGCAGCCAACGGACTCTCATGCAATCACTAACAGCACGGAAGGCCGGGAAAAAAAAACGCGGAAGCGGCCCCACCACGGCGCAATTTCGAAGAGCAATCTCGGAGGAAGCGCGACTTCCGCAGCTTTACATTCTGCTTCCGGGACGCCGTTGTTCCGCCCCCACATTCCCGCGAGGATTTCCCCGCGGGGAGTGGCCGGAGCTTGCTCTGCTCCGCTTCCCCAGTTATGGCGGCGGCGGCGGCGGCGGCGGTGGCGGCACCGGCACCTCCTGCTGCTGCTGCTGCTGCTGCTGCTGCTGCTGCAATTGTTGTTGTTGTTGCGGGGAGGGAGAAGGCAGAGGGGGGAGGGGACGTCCCCTCCCCCCCGCTGCCGCCACCCCCCCGCGGCCAGAGAGCAGGTGAGTGAGAGTGGCAGGCAAGGCGGCTAGCCGGCCGGCCGCGGGGGAGCGGGCAGATCCTGGACCCGCCGGGAGGGTGGGTGGGGGCATGGGGTGGGAGTGGGAGCGCAAGAGGAAGTGACGCCCTGGAAACGGGCGACAGCCTCAGCTGGAATGGGGGCGACCGGGGCTTGGGTGGGGGGGAGGGAAGCCCGATGCCTTTTCCTCGGACGAGCGAAAGGGGGTGCAAGGGAGCCACGTGTCTTACGAGCAGTGAGAGCGATTGGCGGTGGGCTGGGGGACCGAGAGGTAGCCTGCGTGGAAGAGCAGGTCCGTTGGGAGGCAGCAGCTCCTCCGATGTCCCATACTTTCTAATCAGATGCAGGGGGCTTCTGGAAGCTTGCCGAGCTCTGGGGTCCGGGGTCCCTGTTAAGAATAGGGGCGAAAAGGCCGCTATTCCTATTTCGAATGAAAACCAGCCTATCTTGAGGAAAGCTAATCCAATAACAAGCCAGCCTTATTTTTTCTTCTGCCTACAACAGAAGTTGGAAGTAGCAAAAGATAAGGATCCTGCTTTCTCTTCCATCTTTTTACATCCACTTTTTTGCTGCCACCATCCCCAGCCATACACAAATATATTGATGGAGAAAATTGGATTGAGCTAGACCTAGCTTCTCTTTATTTGTCCTTTTGTTAGTTGATGTGTTAAAGAGGGTTGGTTAGGGAAAGAGCAGCAAATCGCCCATTTGAATGGCGTGCTATTAAAGGTATTTGTTCACCTAATCTAATCCCATGCAAAAAGACCACCAGAGGAAATGTAACTCCACAATGCCATTCAGAAGTGAGTGAGACTGTTGGCAGTTATGCCCACTCCTCCTCAGTGGCAATAGGGAATTTGACTCATCAGATGTTGCTGTACTTCATGCTCTGTTGGAAGTTGTAGCCCAGTAACATCTAGAGGTTCTCCGACTTTATGTTTCATTGCCTAGCAGAGCAGCCAGTGATTCAGATAGTATCTCTGTCTCATTTTCTTTGCAGTGACAGCTTTGAAAAGTCAGGGAAAAAGCAGTAGAAGCTATAGTCCTTTTTTATGCTTCCTGTCCTTTTTCTTTCTTTCTTGACAGGAGGAAAGAAGGATTGCTACTTCCCATTTGCTGTTTTATTGCCTTTCATCTCCAATGGGCTGCTTGTTACCCTTCCTTTGAAGAAAAGTGTTTAATGATTTTTTGCCCAAGTACATTCACAGTATCGTAAGGCACAACCCTTAGTCTTAAATATTGTAAGCTGGCCAATGGCTGCCTAGAATACATTGGAATTGCATAAAGAAAATAAACATTCCATATGATAAGAAACACTCAAAATGACTTGCATACAAACCACAATAAAATATAATAAAGGAGTCATAATCTGAAAATAAGCTTTCATCACTATCGGGTAGAATGGAATTGAATAAAGGTTATATGAAGGAGTCTTTACAGTACAATTAACAAAGTAAGTAGATTTTTTTGATGAGACCTTAGTAACCATTATGCACTGAGTTCCTTTGTGGGTCTAGAAATTGCTCATTTTTACCTCCTGATGAAAAACAGTATATTTCAGAAAAAAATGACTTCCCTAGCAGAGAAACCAGGCTTGGAACTTCCTAGGGATATGAGAGATTTCTTTCTTAAAAGTCCTCCTAAACTTAGCATTTCAAAGGAACAGTGAGTGGGACTTTAAATCTCAGCAAATGCACACAAGCCCTGCAGACAGTTGATGAACATAATAAAATTTGAGCTTTTTGAGTAAGAAGAGCTTTTTGCCATACTTGTTCATCAAATCCAACAATTCATGTAGTACTTTTCCAGAGTATTTCCTAGCCTTGAAAGCCAAATCATTTTAACTGGAGATACCAGTATAATGTATGCATGCAAAATATTGCTTATTTCAATGATCTGTGCCTTACCTGACAGGTGATCTGTGGCAATAAACTGGTCTTGGAAGATGAAGAATTATTAAGTCATCAGTTATTAAATTGAAAATCTTTATGTCACTTCAGTAGATTTATAGTCAGAATTTGAATCTCTTATAATAAGAGGGGACTATTTAGAATCTAAATGCATGTAAGGTGTCACACATTTTTATTTACACTATAACAATATTCACGATATTTACATTATGATTTTCTTGAAATAATTAAAACAATTTAATGAAATTAGGGGAAGGGCCATGCCATCTTGTCACTCCAATAAAGTTTATATTTATCTTTCATAAGCTGAATTCCTTATTCCTAAAGTGAAGCAAAATTATAATCCATCTTGCACTTTTAAAAATTTATCTGAGAGTAGATTTCATAGCATTCTGTGGATATTTTGATTCTGATCGCTCTTAAACAAATATTTTCAAACAGTTTAGTAGGATTGAGAACACTTCAGAAATGTTTCTCAGATCCTTTGTGTTCCTTAAAGGGCTCATCTTTTTTCAGAATGTGAAACTGAAAGTGATCATATGTTTTAGGTCTCTAATTTGAAACAATCAACTATTTTGTCTCATGAAGAAAGCTGAAAAAATACTAAGGTGTGACTGAAATGAGGTTCGAAGCACTTTTTCTGAATCATTATTAAAGTGTACACGGTTTTCGAAACTAGGCACAAAATAAGAGTTATTTTAAATAGGTCCAAGCATTTCTGTTCAATTAGGTAGGTTTATCTTTATTTCCACCCTTTGGACCATATATGTATATACACATGCCAGATAATAAAAACAGTTTTAGAATTAGTTTCAGTTTGGGTGGTACATTACTTGCAGGAATAGCTGGCTACTATTCAGGAAACAAATCTTCATATTTTCTTGATAGTTGGAAACTATGGCACTGACAAAAATCATATTCAATGAATCTTTGATTTGCTATCCTTACAGCAAATAATATGGACATATCTGAAAATATTAATCTACAATATTATAAACATTTCCCTGTGTAAAACTAAAATCTTGTTAGTAGCTACTTTGTATGAAGGCATAATTCTTCATTTTCAAAACACAGAGGTGATAATTTATCTAAAAGTAGCTAGAAGAAACTTATGTTACCAAGAAATGTATTAATGTATAATAATATAAAACTATTGAAAAGTCTCACATTAATTTAGAAAGTTATATTTGAGATAATAGCATTAGCGAAATGTTTTGGCGTGCTCAGCCCACTCATTATGCTTTTATACAATGCTCTTCCAGTATCTGTAACTTACATGTTAAGAAGACAGTATAGTATGGCATTGTCTCCACCCTACACTGTCACTACACTGACAAATTTGCTTTAGATACATAGTGAATTCGTAGCAGAGGTAAAACATGAATTAGGATTTCCTAGTTTTGGATTAAGCAATTTAGTACACTTCAGAAGTTTTGAATTTAAATTCTCATCAGCCCTGCCATCATTGGTAATGGCAAGAGGACACAGTGGTAATCCAAACAATGCGTGGTGTTTATCTACATATTTCCCAATAATTAGAATTCAGCAGTTGTTTATTTTTCTGCTAATTGACTATGTACAATCTGGTCCAAGTAGTAAGTACAAGAAAGACCATATAGTCCCGTGATGGCGAACCGGAAGTGGCACACAAAGCCATTACTGCTGGTACGTGAGCCCTCACCCAGAGCAGGTCTACTGTGCATGTGTGCACGTCGCCAGCCCGACAGCTGATTGGTATCTAGCGTGCATTTGGGTGGAGGGGGTGCACGGGAGACAGGCATGCATGTGCAGAGACTGAATGTGTGGCAGGCTGTTTCACTGTGATTCTTTGTTTTGATTATAGTGAGTAGAATGAATAAAATACCTTGAGCGGATTGAAAAAGTACTAATGCCCCCACATAAGCTTTATTTAAAATCTTAAATTTTATTTTCTAAACTTCTGGTGATTATGTGCCATTAAGTTGGTGGCAGTCCTCAGTAACCCCAGATATTTTCTCTGTAATAATTCCTCCCCAACCTGGTCTTTCCAGTAGTGTATATCATTAGTCCATCATTGCTGTAATTGAGACCATCTACCTTGCTGTCATTTATCCTTTTCTTCCCACCTTTGCCAGCTTTATAGACTTCTCCAGACAGCTAGGTCATTACCCATTTTACTTAAACTATGATAATATAAATTCTTTTCTGAGGTTTTATAAATTATTGATCATGAATGTAGTCAATCTGTAAGATTGAGATTGAATTGCTTGCTTTGCTTCTAGTGCTAATGCTTATCTATACTGTAATTGTTTGTAGCAGTTACTTATTTACTATTTGTATTATTTAGTATCTTGCAATATAATAAAACATTTCAAGCTAGTTTCCCTTCCTCAGCTTCAGTTTCACTTTCCCATTAGTGCCAATCATTTTTTCTCTTGCACTAAGGATAGTTTTATTGGAAGCATGAGTGAAGAGGGAAAATTGTGGCAGACCTCTATTCTGAGAATGAATGAGTGAATGAATGAATTATATGCATATATTTATGTATGCACAGATTTTTCAGTGAAAGTCTTTTTTCTTACAAAGTATGATCACCTTTCCCATAAATTACTTCTATTGGCCACATGAAATTAATTTGAAATATACCCCTAATGAATTAGAACATGCTGCATCATATTCCATGGAGCTGTCCTAAAATTTAGGATGGATACTTTGTGTGTGTGTATGTATGTATGTGTGTATATATGTGTGTGTGTGTATATATATATTTGTTTTCTTAAGTTTTTGTGGATACTTACATGTATGGTATTCAGCTTTGTTCGGGTATTTTCCCACGTCATTGTAGTTGTGCTTTAAAAGCACAACTACAATGATGTGGGAAAATATTCGAACAAAGCTGAATACCATATGTATGTATGTATGTATGTATGTATGTATGTATGACAGTGAAAATTGTATCATATAGAAAATATATTGTCATATAAGTATGTCCCATTAATAACATTCTTAAATATTTTGTGTCCAGAAATAGTAACTTTTCTACATCTGACTACTGTTAGAGAAATATTGACAACATGTACAAGATTATTGTATC